GCTCTGTGCCTCCCTCATCCTACTGCAGTAGCTGACTGACCCCACCTCTGTCTGTGCTGCTCCTGGCTTTGAAGCTGCTGTTGCTTCCCTCTGAGGTTCCAACTTGAGATGGTTGAGGTGGTGGAGCCCACTGTTTTCCAACACATTTCTCACACGCTGCTTTTATCCCTTATCCTAGCCTCATACTCTTCAGTTGCTCCCAGCTTTGCTTCTGTGCTCGATGTTTATCTGTGTCCCAGGCCTTAGTCTATCAAGCTCTGTTCTTTTCACCATTGTGCTGTTGTAATCCCTGTGTCTGATCTTGCACTCTTCCACCGCTACCTGGCTGAGGGATTTCAGCGGAAGGTGTTAATTCTCAGACCAGGTAGATAGATTCTGATTGGTCAGGATGTTGCCATGGGGGTGCACAAGTGTTTGGCGGTCTCAATGACACCTTTCAGTCTGTCTGTGCCTCCCTCTTGGTATTCAGAATGACACACCCCACACCCCACTTCCCCAAGAGTTAATAATTCCCCATTGACCTACAGCCCTGGATTCACCTGTAAGTCGAGCATCCAGGAATCATCTGCCGATCCCTGTTGCTGCTGGAACTACTCAGCTGTCAGCCAATCAGATAGGTGGAGGTGTAGAAGCAATATGACCCCATTGTAAAATTCACTGCAATAACTCCATGTGGAGTCTTTTGGATTAAAACTTTCATCTGTTTAATTGATCTGTGTATCATTGTTGAAAAAGCATGAGCACGCAGTTCAGTTTGGGAACAGAAATGTCAGGGGTAATTGCAGATTTGGTATTGTGCAGGTTTACAATTCACTGAATGGGGAGAGCCAAAGGAATGAAATGTTTGTGATTCCTGTATTCAAGCAGAGAAAATACTAAATGTGTCATTTATTCCATGGCCCACAGCTGTGAGCTCAGGTTAGAATTCATGAGGGATAAACCAGCTTGAATATTTGCTTTAGCTAGCAGGTTGTTAGTATTCATATAGATGACAGCAAATGTACTGACATTGTCAACCCTCCCGGTTACATCCTTAAATAATCCGATTAAGCTCGTCTGACTCAGTCTTCTCTTAAAATATCCCTGGTGGGTATTCATGACTTTCTAAATTATGTTTTAAATAGTATCTCAGAATTTGTCCATGAACTTACACTGTTGTTATCCTGTAATTACCCAATCTATTCCTTCGTTCCTTTAGAAACTATGATACGATGTTAATAGTGTATATATCCAAAGTATAAATTTTGGATTCTTGCTCTTTTGCTTTCTGGGAATATATTTGTCCTGAGTTCTCCTTCTTCTCCACTCAAGCTCCACTTTGAATATCTCACACGCGCACACACACACACACACACACACACGGACATACTCCCTCACCACACATACAGATCTACGGGTTGAATTTGTATTTGCAAATACATTCTATTTTGTTCAAAATGCACACAATTTATAGACAGTCAGTCAATGCAATGTTTTATAGATTGCTGCTTTAGAAGTAAAACCAGTCTGACTCTAAACCAAAACAAAAGACAAACAGATTTTAAACGAGACCCCACACCTAACATGCATTGTCTGATCTAAAATGTCACATCTCCTTTACACTGATAAAAGCCTCTAGTTTTCTCAGGACAGTGACTTCAAAAGAATTTGGGATTTGCATACACATATTAATCAATTAAAACCTTCTAACTGATTAAAGATTTAACAGCATCTTAGATTTATTTAATACATCCTCATCAATGGTGTGAACCTTTGATCTTTTACTTATAAATTCTGTGTCTGATGCTGCCTCTCTCACTAACACCTGAGGAAGGAGTAATGCTCCCAAAGCTTGTGTTTTCAGTAAACCTGTTGGACTATAACCTGGTGTTGTGTGATTTCTGACCTTGTCCACCCCAGTCTAAACCTGGCATCTCCAAATCATCCCACTGCTTTGACACAGATGTACCTTCAAGTAGTTGTCTCCAGTCCACTTTTGCCAAATCACATTCCAACAAAATAGACCATTTTTCCTAATTTAAAACTTGTAATCTTTTTCCATATGTATGTTGAATCTATCCGTAAAATGCTTTCCCACAGATTCCCATTCCATCTGCCCAGATTAATTTTCTAAAACCAAGTAGAAAGCTGTCTCTTCATTTTTTGGATTTGCAGTGTTCTAACATATTTTCCTGAATTGCATTTTAAGCATTCTGCACCTATTTTGCTTTACGCTGGCTTCACCACAATTAATATTTGGGTGGTTGAAATCCCCACTATTGTTATCCTCTGCTCATTTCTCTGCAATTTCCTTACAAATTTTCTCATCTCTGAATCTTTGTGGTTTTGCAGTGTACTCCTAGGTGTGAATTTCTTTCCCCATTTGTTGCTTATCTCATCTCAGAATGCCTCTTCTGTTGCTATTTCTGACAAACCACCATTCATCACATCTGTCACTGTTTCTTTAACCTCATTGCATCTGAAATGACCAAAACCAATGACCGCAAAGTGAGCTTCATTCCTGGCCTTCCTAAACCATACTCCTGCAACCACAAGAATGCTCTACCGCTACCTGGCTATCTTTGTTTCTACATTTTCTGGTGATTATATGGTTATAATTACTCATACTAGCCTGTTTATTCCAGGTTTATTTCACTAAATTAATTTAAAACATTGATATAAGTAGGTGAGATGAGTGGACAAAGACCTCTCAGTTGGCATTTCATGTGAAGTTGTTCACTTTGGCAGGAAGAGTCAAAAAAAGCAGATTATTATATAAATAGAGAACAATTCCGAGATACAGAAGGATCTAATTGTTCTAATGCATGAGTCACAGAAAGTTCTGATATCATTGAGAGGGATGATGGAATTCTATCCTTTATTACAAGAAAAACTGAACGTAAAAGTGAGCAAGTTGTGCTTCAGCTATACAGGGCATTTGTGAGACCATATCTCAAATACTGTGTGCAGTTTTGGTCTCCTTAGTTAAGGAACAATGTAAATGCATTGGAGATGGTTTAAGAGGTTGATTCCTGAAATGAGCGGATTGTCTCATGAGGAAAGATTGGACAAGTTGGGCTGTTTCAACTGGAATTAGGAAGAATGAAATGTGACTTGATTGAAGCGTATAAGAATGGTCTTGACAAGCTGGACCTGGAAAAGATGTGTCCTCTGGTGGATGAGTCCAGAATTAGGCAACACCATAAGGGCACATAATTGGGGGTTCCATTCTGTTCACCTTTGGTCAGAAATCAGGGGATTTTTTTATTGAGTGCTAAGTGACTTTGCAATTCCCTGCCTCAGAATGCAGTGGAAGCAGGGTCATTGAATATTTTTAATGCGGAGGTAGCTGGATTTGTGTTAGTTAAGGAAATCAAAGATATTGTGAAAGTGAAATACAAGCAAATAGGCCATGATCTTATTGAATGGTTGTGCAAGCTTCAAGGGTCACATGGTCTACTTCTGCTCCTGATTAGAACGTACATAAAATTTCTCAGCTACAATGTGGGATGTGAACTCATAACACTCCTTTTATAATATGATCATGGAATGAGGGTATTGTTGGTTGGGCCAACATTTATTATCTATCCCACATAAGGCCTCAGTTAAGAGCCAGACACACTGCTGTGGTTCTGCAATCACATGAGGGCCAGACCAGGATTGTTGATTTTTTTTTAACAATTAACAGTGATTACAATTTTGCCTTTAAGCTCACTTTTTACACCCCATTTTTTAATATATAGAATTCAAATTTCACCATCTGCCACAATGGGATTCTCCCCAGATCATTAGCCCAGAGTTCTGAATTACTAATCCAGAGATATTACACCTACATCACCTCTTCCCTTTATTAAGCTAGGCCTCTTGATTAATAGGTTTGTAATTTAACTATTCTGCCACAAGTCTTGAAAACCTTTAATTGATAAAAAAAAGTTGAGAATGTTACTTACCTAAGATTTGTTAAATCAAACCCACACATTATTGGAAACAAAAACAGAAATAGCTGGAGAAACTCAATAGGTCTGGCAGCATCTGTGGCGAGAAAACAGTGTTAACATTTCAGGTCCAGTGACTCGTCTTCAGAACTCGTGCTGCGAGATCTGCTGAGTTTCTCCAGCGATATCTGGTTTTGTTTCAGATTTTCAGTATCCCCTGTTCTTTGTTTTATTCTACATATTATCAGGCCTACTGTTCACTGCCATGGTGGCTTCATATCTGTGATGTTAGAAGCAAGAAACTAAGTTTTAGTTATCCTAGAATATCTACTGTGTGGGAACGGGCCCTTCAGCCCAACAAGTCCACACCGATTTTCCGAGCATCCCACCCAGACCCATCCCCCTAGAACCCACCTAATCTACACAACCCTGAACTCGACAGGCAATTTAGCACGGCCAATCCACCGAGCCTGCACATCTTTGTCCTTTGGGAGGAAACCCATGCAGACACAGGGAGAACATGCAAACTCCACACAGACAGTTTCTGGAGGGTGGAATTGAGCCTGAGTTACCTGGTGCTGTGAGGCAGCAGTGCTAATCACTGAGCTATCTTGCTTTTATTTCACAGACATGTACCATGGTGGCATGACCAAGAAATCACAGAACAAGGTTCAAGTCAGTGGAATGTTCATAAACTGATCCCCCCATTTTAAAGAGATAATCTTTTCAAAAAATTTTGTATCAAAATGTAGTATTTGAATTACTCTTTACCTATACACAGCAATGCCTGCAACACAAGTAATTCCCATCATTTCTGGCTATGATTTTCAACCATGGTGACATCGTGAGTGGGTGGCTGAGGATTGAAGAGCAAGCACAACATCAATGTTGAAACATTTGTCTTCTTATCTTGAGGGCAAGGACACTTTTTAACTACAGTTAGGCTGATATCAGATCTGTTTAAATAAGGTAAACAAATAGAAGACAACTTGCACAAGCAAATTCAAGCATTAACTGAAAAGTTGGCTTTGCCTGACTTCCAAAATATTTGACTGAGTCACTGACATAAAGCAGTTTACTGCTCTGATTTTTCTTTATTGCTGATTTCTGTTTAGAGACAGTGTGCTCTATATCTCACTAATCGGTATGAAGCTGCTATGCATTGCCATCTTTATCATTCAGCTGTTATGTGTTGATGCAGAATCAGAACCCATATCTGAACCTGAGATCAATGTACCTCCTCCACGACATCCCATTGATTGTAATAATCCAGACGTTCTAATCGCTGTGGATTTCACGCTTCGTAAATTCAATGCTAAGCAGAAAAGTGGCCATCAATATGCTCTCGACAAAGTCCTACAAGCTGAAGCACAGGTGAGTAGATCTCTTAATGTGCTGTAAAGTACTTGTACAATTTTTTTTGCATCATTAAACCTTAATGCATTTTCTACCACATTTTAAGAATATTTGAGCCTTCAGTTTTCCCACATAATATAGATATGGTTTAGCGATTTTTTAATTGATCACCAGGAGAAAGTTTACAACCTATGTCTGCCCTTCACTTAGCCACTGTTCCACACGTTCCTTAGACAGTAGCTGAGATCTTGTGGGAACAATACGAACAAACTTATATTTTACAGAGCCGTGGTTCAGCATACAAGAACTCTGATATACCATGCCAGTACACAGAACCTCTATGCTTCACCAAAATGGTGCCCAACATAATAGATGGGCATGGTAGATCAGCTTGCACTAATTAATTGTTGAGTGACCTATGACTACTTAGAATGAATATAAGTTCTGAACATTACCATAAAGCATCTTCAATTTTGTGTTTTATCACATTGGAAGAAAATTGAAACAAGTTAAGAGTGCTATGTAACTGTTAGCTCAAAACTTGCTGTCTTAGAGTGCAAATATTACAACCCAGATTTGACTTGCAAGAATAATGAACTAGCTGAACATAAAAATCATGACTTGACCTGCTTGAGGTAATAGACTATAGCTACAAGTCAATCTGTGCCCTAGGTTTTCTGCTCAAATTGCATTAGCTCAGGAGCTTAGCCAGAATGGACTTTGATGCTTATTTCTTCAATGGCTGCATTCTCTGTCATGTTGGTGACTCCCCTCCAGAAGAAAGACATGTCCCTGTGAACGAACCCAATCTAAGAGCATTTCTGATATTTGTGTCAGGGAGGCTAGACAATGAACTGCTCGAACTTGTAGAGCCTGCCTAAAATGCAAATTGCCTCAGAAATCCTAGTTTAAAAGCTGGCCTTTTGCTGCCAGCTACATTTAACCTGAGCATTAGAGACCAATCAAGTGTGACTCTGTGTGAAAGCAGCTATCGAGTGTGAAAGTGAAGACTAAATCTGCTGGTATTTTGGGGACGTTACATTTTGAATATTAATTGTGAGAGGTGAATAATGTAGGTATATTACAGAGGTAATTTGTAATTTTTATTGGTTTATGATTATTTCGAGTGAGGACCAAACTGTCACCAGCAAGAGGATTCACAGCAGTATATGAACTCCAGCAAAATAAATATTCAGTGGCAGAACAGTCTTTTAGTATTTTAAATGTGTTCTCCTGTTATTTTCCCCAGAATATGAACATTTTCAAAGTTCGAAGAACACAAAGGCATTTTTCAAATTGTCAAGAATCTAGAAAGAAACCTGCAGCCTCTTGAAGTGTCACCTGTCATGTACACATTGTATTGATGTGCTTGCTGTTGACAGATTGATACATAAGCTTCATACAAATTATATCCTTTCCCCCAACTTCATTATATCTTTTTTTTGTTGTTCCCCTGCCCAAATGGTCCTAAATCTTATTAACATACTGCTGTTAATTTCAAGCAGGTTTTGCTTGGTTCAGCCTGTCCCCGGTTATTGTTTCCTACCGTTTGTCCTGTAAGTCCCCACTTCTGTTGAATTTTGTCACTGCTGTTCATCCCAAAGTTTGAATCCTAAGTCTTTGTACATACTACATTTCTCCTCATCTCTCTTCAATGGACGACCCCTTGCTGTGAGATTATGTCCTATAGTCGTTGACTCTCCCTTAAAGGAAAATCATCTTTTTGCGTCCACCCTGTCAAGCCCCCAAAAATTTTATATCTTTCAGTGATGACTTTTTTCATTCTTCCCTTTTATAAAGCCTGACACTCCTAATATCTTCCTGTGCACTCCAGGACTTGCAGTTTAGGCACAAGTGCGAACATCTTGCACTTCCTTCCCAGTGAATCCATCTGCATCTCACTTGTTCCTATAACAACCAACCAAATGAGGCTTGCTGTCAAGCAGGATGAGAACAAGTTGCATTTTTACTGCTCTTTAACACCTCAATTTGCCTGAGATTAAATAGTCCCAAAAAATAACAAATTTATAAACTTTGTCTATTACTTGTCACAACTGAAAACTTTATGCAAGAGACTGAGTTTTAAAGAAGAGTCATTATCAGACTCAAAATGTTAACACTTCTTCTCATTCCATAGATGCGCTAGATCAACTGAATTTCTCCGGCATTTTCTGTCTTTATTTCAGATTTCCAGCATCCACAGTATTTTGATGTTATTACTCTGTGTAATTTCTGATGTGATTTTCTATTAATTTAACAGTTCTTTTTTGCAGAACTCAGCAAATTAGAAGTTGGAATAATATCAAACATTGTATGAATTAATACGGTTTAAGAAATAGCAAAAGAGTAAATTCCTAGTAGTGCTGTCGTGGATTTCCTGATGAGCTAATATAATGATACACACAAGTTTTATCTGAATTTCATTTCAATATTTTAGTTACAGAATCAAGAAGTTTTGTCTGACAAAAATCTTCTTTTCATAGGGATTACATGGAAAACACTATTTTATCAATTTTTCAATTCAAGAAACAGATTGCCCTGTTGGCAATGATAAAATGTGGAAGGAATGCAACTACAGAACATATGGAATAGCTGTAAGTTTTCTCTTGATCTATTCTGAATACACATTCACTGCAAACATTTGCAACAATTTTGCCAAAATTATCCACTAAATTTTCCACCTTGTTCAGCACACTCTTTGGAGACTTCTTTAGGCAGGGAATTTCTTCTGAGATTTTTTTCAACTCCACTGTGATAATGTCCCAGCAACCTCAGTTAAGAGTTTTTGTTGCATTTCGAGGGAAATTTCAGTAGTGGATAACAAGTGGCATGGATGTTTAAGGGGGGAGTAGGTTGTTGGAGAGGGTGAAGTTCCTGATCTGAAGTAAGATGTTTACAATAGTAAAGTACAGATGCACTAGGATGCTGCTTTGTGTGATGAAATGTATATATGAAGAAAGACTTGCAAAGTGGAACAGTTTTCAATGCTAGAAAAGACAATGCTGTCGCCGGAAGATACTTCAGTTAGTTGCATTACCTTATCTCCATTTCCTACATTGCAACAGTGACTACATTTCATTTGCTGTAAAGTGTTTTGGGACATCCTAAGTGTTTGAAAGGCACAATACAAATACAATTTTCATTTATACCTCGACAGCTTGGTCAAGCAAACAGTGAAAGGGGGTATGCTATGTATTTGGTATGGGCTGTAGTGCTGACAAATGGTAGCCTTATCCTTTTCCTGTCCAGTCAATTTGCCATTGCAAACTGAAAGAACTGTGGATGTTGTAAATCAGGATCAAAAACAAAGTTCCTGGAGAAGCTCAGCAGGTCTGGCAGCATCTGTGAGGGTAGGAACAGAGTTAACGTTTCGGGTCGTTCTGAGGAAGGGTCACTGGACCCGAAATGTTAACTCTGTCTTTTCCTTCACAGATGCTGCCAGACCAATTTACCATTGCCATTGTCCTGGGCTCTGGAACTCATTGTTTTTTGACCATTGGCTGGCCAACTAAAAAGGAGCTGGAAGATCCTAAAAGACTTGATAGTAGCCTGTGAGCACCCATGCATTTCTGTCTTAATGCATTCATTTTTGACCGTTGTCTGGAGCATTCAATATCTCAAGCAAACTTGGTGTATGGATGAATTCTCGTACGTAAATTGCAGATATTTTTCTTAATTCTGATGTTTGTTTTCAGACTATAGGTCACTGTGAGTCACATGTGTACATCCATAAAACTGACAGAATAATTGATGTGACTGAATTCAACTGCACCATAGATTCAGGTATGAGACACTAAAACAGCAGTTATTAGGTTATGGGGTAAGATAGTTTACGCCTTATTTTCAGGCATGCAATCAATGGCAAGCATACATTCTCAGCGGATTTGAGAAGAATATTGGGGCCTCTTTTGAATAATTTGGGTGAGTTTGCAGTATCTGTCAAGCCTCCAGATGCACATCACTCATTTCTGACAAATCATTTTCAGCTGAATGACTTGAAAGTAACAGTCCTGCTCAGTCTGGGGCCTAAAAAACAACCTGGTACAAAAGAGCATGAGAAATAGAAGCAGGCCTAAGCCATTTGCCCCTCCAGCCTGCTCTGTCATTCAATACCATTGTGACTGAAATGATCTTGGCCTGAAACCTCCTTACCTCCCTGTCCATACAAACTCTTAACTCCTTGATCGAGTTTTTTGAGGAGATGATAAAGACGATTGATGAGGGAAAAGTGGTTGATGTTGTCTACATGGACTTCAGGAAAGCCTTTGACAAGATCCCTCGTGGCAGACTGGGACAAAAGGTGAAGTCACATGGTATCAGGGGTGAGCTGGCAAGATGGATATAGAGCTGGCTTAATCACAGCAGACAGAGGATAGTGGTGGAAGGATGCATTTCAGAATGGAGGGCTATGACTAATGACGTTCCACAGGAATCAGAGCTGGGATCTCTGCTGTTCATGGTCTATATAAATGATTTAGAGCAAATGTAGCTAGTCTAATTAGTAAGTCTGTGGATGATACAAGAATTGGTGGAGTTGTGGATAATTAAGCGGTTTGTCAGAGGATACAGCAGGATATAGATCAGTTGCATGCATGGGCAGAAAAATGGCAGATGGAGTTTAATCCAGACAAAGTTTAGAAGGTCAAGTACATATGGAAATTATACAATGAACGGCAGAAGCCTTTGGAGTAAGGATGTGCAGAGCGATCTGGGTGTGCAGGTCCACAGATCACTGAAGGTGGCTGTGCAGGTAGATAACATAGTAAAAAAGGCCTATGGCATGCTTGTCTTCATTGCTAGGGGCATTGAGTTTAAAGATTGGCAAGTTATACTACAGTTTTATTGAATTTTAGTAAGACCACACTTGGAATGTTGCCTGGTGTGGGGAATTTTAGCTATGTAGAAAGGTTGGAGTGACTGGGATGCAGAAGGTTGAGGGGCGACCTGATAGAAGTTTATAAGATTGTGAATGGCATGGATAGAGTGGAAAGTATGAGGCTTTTTCCCAGGGTGGATGTGTCAATTACTAGGGGATACAGGTTCAAGGTACGGGGTGGGGGAGGAGTTTAAAAGAGATGTGTGAGGCAAGTTTTTCACACAAAGGGTGGTGAGTGCCTGGAACGCGTTGCCAAAGGAGGTGGTAGAAGCAGACACAATAGCAGCGTTCAAGAAGCACTTGAACGAATACATGAATAAGAAGGGAATAGAGGGATACGGTTCATGTAAGTCAGGACAGTTTTAGCATGGAAGGGCAAAATCTGTCGGCGCAGCCTTGGAGGGCTGTAGGGCCTGTTTCTGTGCTGTACTGTTCTTTGTTCTTTGTTCCACTACAGTTTAAAAATTTCTCCATCTCACCCTTGAATATATTTAATGGCTCAGCCTCTGATGTCTAGGGATGAGAATTGTACAATTGCACAATTCTGAGAGGGAAGAAATTTCTCCTTAAATCTATCTTGAAGGTTTGACTCCTTGTTCTGAAACTGTGCCTCTTAGTGTCATTGTCATCGAGCCATACAGTACCAAAGAGGCCCTTCGGCCCATGAGTCTGTACTGACAACAAAAACAATCACCTATCTACACTCATCCCACTTGTAAAAACATTTCAATTGCACATTCATGTCCTGTGGTGTTTCTCAACTCTAAGCAGTGCACCTTGTAGATGGTACACATTGCTGCTATTATGTTCATGGAGGGCCTGAATGTTTAATTTTGTGAATGCAGTGCTGAACGAATGAGCTGCTTTGTCTTGGAGGATGTTGAGCTTCTTGAGTTTTGCTGGTTTTGCAGTCACTGAGACAAGTAGAGAGTATTCTATCACATTCCTGAATTACCAGGTTGACAGGGTTTGAGAGGTTAGGTGAGTTATTTGCCACAGAATTCTAAACCACTAACCTGCTCTTGTAGCCACACCATTCATTTGGCTGATCTATTTCAAGTTCTGGTCAATTGTAGCCCCAACGATGTTGATAGTGGAAAATTCACTGATAGTAATGCCAAGGTTAATGGTTGCATTCACTCTTGTTGGAGATAGTCATAGCCTGGCACTTGTGTGGCTCGAATGTATGTTGCCACATACTAGCACAAGATTGAATGTTGTCCAGGTATTGTTGCAAATGGAATAAATTGCTTCAGTATTTGAGAAGTTGTGAATTGTGCTGAACTGTGCAATTAATTGCCGCACATCCCCAGTTTATCATGGAGAGAAGATTCATCCAAAATGAAATCAGTTTCAGCAAATGAAACAACTGAAGATGGTTGAATCCAGGACACTACTTTGGGGAACTCCTATAGTGCCACCCTGGGTCTGATTTGATTGATCTTCAACAGGTGAGAGTGACAGCACTTGACATCAAGGATGCTTTTGACCATAAGTTACATCAAGCAACACGAGCAGAACTGGAATCAATAGGAATTGGTGTGGGGTGAGGTGGGGGTGGGCTGTGACCTCTTTGCTGGTTGGAGTCGTATCTGGCACAAAGAAACATGATTGTGTTTGTTGAAGGTCAGTCATCTCAGCTCCAAGATATCTCTCCAGGAGTTCCTCAGAATGGTGTCCTTAGCCTGACCATCTTCAGCTCCCCCCATCATAAGGTCAGATGTCGAGATGTTTGCTGATGATTGCACAATGTTTAGCACCATTTGATACTCCTCAGATACTGAAGCAGTTCATTGTCCAAATTCAACAAGATCTGGACAATGTCCAGCTTGGTCTGAAAAGTGGCAAGTAACATTTAGACTACACAAATGCCAGGCAATCTATCCATCACGCCTTGATATTCAATGGTGTCACCATCACTGAATTCCTCCACTATCAATATCATAGCGAAGCAATTTGCCATTGACCAGAAACTGAACTGGACTGGCTATAGAAATGCAATGGCTACAGTAGCTAGGAATACTGCAGAAAGTAACTCCCATCCTGACTCTCCAAAGCCTGTCCCATGTCGCATCTACATGTCACACGTCTAATGAAATACTCCCCAGTTGCCTGGATAAGTCCGGCTCCAACAACAATCAAGAAGTTTGACACCATTCAGGATAAAGCAGCCCTGCCTGCTTTATTGGCACTACATCCACAAGCATCCACTCCCTCCATCACTGATGCTAATGGCAGCAGTGAGTGTTACTGTCAAGATGCACTGTAGAAACTCGAAAACCCTTAGACAGTGTCTTCCAAACCGACAACCACTTCTATCCAGAAGGTCAAGGGCAGCAGATACATAGGAACACCACCTCCTGCAAGTTCCCCTCCAAGTCACTCACCATCCTAAATTGGAAATATATCACCATTCCTTCACTGGCACTAGGTCAAAATTTAGGTAATCCCCTTAGCAATGCGTTGAGTCAATTTACAGCATGTGTACTGCTGTGTTTCAAGAAGGCAGCCGACCAGCATCTTCTCAAAGGTAACCAGGGACTGGCAAAAATGCTGGTCCAGTCAATGACAGACACATTCCACAAGTGCATAAAATAAACAACCGTGTTTCTGTGTGCTCTGTACAATAAAAGATTATGAAACACAATACACAAACATGCAGGTTGGTATTGAGAGGACAGTTGAAAGGTAAAAATAAAAAAAAGGAACATACAAATCAGTCTTTAGGATGTCTTTAACAAATAGATTGTGAAATGTTGTGGTTGTTAACTGGATGATTCTGGGATAACATAGACTTTGAATCACAGAATCCCTACAGTGTGGAAACAGGCCCTTTGGCCCAACAAGTCCACACTGACCCACAGAGCATCCCACCCTGACCCATTCCCCTATAACCCACCTAATCTACACGTTCCTGAACACTATGGGCAATTTAGCATGGCCAATCCACCCAGCCTTCACATCTTTGGACTGTGGGAGGAAACCGGAGGAAACCCACACAGACAAGGGGAGAATGTTCAAACTCCATACAGACAGTTGCCCAAGGGTGGAAATGAACCCTGGTCCCTGGTGCTATTGAGGCAGCAATGCTAACCACTGTGCCACCATGCTGCCCCAACTTTGATTGTGTGGTTGTTTCAAGACTCTTGGTTTTGCAGTTCACTGAAAGGAATTTGTCAATGAAGGAATTTTTGATAACTTGTTTCCAGCAGAGCAATTTTTCCTTTTACTTGCACAAGAAGAGGAAGGGCTAGGGGAGCTTCTCAGCTGTGACCCTTCACAGCACACATTCGCACAGTGGAATTGAACAATAAGCTAGCACACTGGCATTCCAGCACACACACAGATTATGTGTTGCTGTTGGTTTATAACTCTCTTTGTTGTGTCTTCTGTGGAAGGTTAAAACACAAGCACATTTTTACACCCAGATGGTATTTTTTTCAACTCAATAAGTTTGCTCTATGGGACACAATCCACACGAGATCACAGTTCAGTTTTTGAATGGCATCTCTCCATTTGAAGTGGTGCTGAGTGAAGTGCCCTTGACATTCTTCAGTTGTGAATTTCCATAGTTCCTTCCCAGGGCTCAGTTTAAGCACACAGGGATTTTAGACAGATATTGAATTTACATTCTCTGCCATTTGTGCCCTGTATGTCTTATGCACAAAAGAAACACATGTTGTACTTAAAATTTCAACGTTCAATGTATCCATAATTCATTTGGGGTTATGATCAATTGCCAGGACAATGTCAAAACAATCAGTCTCACTTCCACTTCATCATGCACAAGAATGGTCAGATCCCTCTGGGGTGCAGAATTGTGTAGTCCCTCTCCAAATTTAAGCAATATTTTGTTTTTTCTACTTTTCCCATTCACCTGGATAACTGCACATTTTCACACATTTAACTCCGTCTTGTTTGTCCAGTCAAGTAACTTACCAATATTCCTTTAGGGACACTATTGGCTGAATTTTTGAGTAATAGAAACTGGTGAAAACTGGATCCTTTTTGATGAAGTTGTGGAGAGTGAACTGAGCACAGATAATTCAAACTCAGCAGAGGGACTTCTACAACTTAAGCCAAGGTTGTTGTCCTAATTACACAACACAACAGTCGAACATATGTAAACTTGAAATCTATATATGTTGTATGAAATACAAAGGGAGTGGCTTGGAGCATTTTTTTTATTTCTAAGCTTTGTTTAGATCATGGATGGAATAGATTACCAGAAACAGTGATGAAAATAATCTAAAATAGGATTTAAATTGGAAGTTCATAAATCTTTTATAAAGTAGCGATGTGTAAATCATAAGATAAGGGCAGAGAAATAGTGAATAGCTTTCTTGGGAAACTAGCACCAGGGCAATGGACTGTAAACATTCTATGATTTTATGATACAGATTAATGTTGTTTCGTTTTAAATAATTTCATCTGTTTCACGGTACACTAATTGTCTCTAACGTTGCTCCCCAGATCATCACACACCAATTGTACCGAAACGTGCACTGTGCCTTGGATGTCCAATGGATCTGCCAATTAACCACCCCCGTTTAAATGAAACAATTGCACTTGCTATTGCAAAGTATAACACTGAGAACAACTATACAAATTACTTTCAGCGTGCCGAGGTTTTCAAGTTCACTCATCAGGTTCGACTTTTCTTTGCAAGCATGTCAACAATTAGTGTAGCTTTCCTTCATATTTCTGCGTGGCCTGTTTCTGATCATCTTTTAGAGCTTATTCCCCAGTTGAGAAGACCAGACCCCATTTAAGTCTTTATTTTAGAACAAGTATACAATATAGAAATGTTAAGACTATAAAAATTGATGGAAAAGCTGCTGATAAATAATTCGCACCAAATTTTTTTTCAAAGAGAATTTGCAACTTCCCTTTCTTGAGCTTCAGCCACATAATTTTATATTTGATGTGAAGGCTCGGAAAATCTTCTCTGTTCTCCAAAGTCAAACAGGTGAAAATTGGGAAGATTTGTCTTAGTTTAAATGATTTACAATGTTCAGTCTGACAAGTTATTTTCTTGTGAACTGAAATTGCCATTGTACCATCAGCACTGAGGCTTTCCTATGACTTCCCTACCTTAAAACAAATATTTTGCTGACATATTCCAAATCTGTGAATTGCTTTGTCCAATTCTTTTAAGCTGAATGACTTTACGAGCTTGGAGCTCATTCACTTATCCTGAATCAAAAAAGTGTTAAGAAAACATTGAATTTCACAAGGGCTTTATTCTGATTATGTGACATTAAGCCAAGTTTAAAGATTCAGTCTGTTCACCCTTATCCCTTTTTCTTGATTTGTGTTCTTGTTTTCTATTATGTATATGTTCCTTTTTAATTTTTAACTTCAATATTGCATTTTCCTATCAAATTGTACCATTATCTCATCCCTAAATTTCATTCCAAACACATCATCTAATTGTGAAATATGAGCAACTTTTAAATGTTTGCATTATGATTGGCCAAAATTTGATCAGCAAAATCCAGGAAGATAGCGTTTTTATTACTATCCAGTGATCTCCTACAACCTGATTCCACCCAGTGGTTGAAGAGACTGTTCATTATTCAGATGTTGTCTTGAAAATTGAGAATCAAATTACATTTTTGAATGCTTTTTAGATTATGTTTCAATAGCTGTTGATGTGCCTCAATTTGGCTGCTCTCTGTAATCCCATTTCCTCACTGAGTCATCTATAGAAATTTTTAAACAGCCAGCTAAACTGAAACACTGAGGCAAAATGAAGACCATTCAAACAATAATTATGTCCAATAATGTTTTTTTATTGCACAGAAAATTTGCATTAATAAAAGTATGATTTTAATCAGGTGGTGGCTGGAATTAGATATAGCTTGGATTTCTCAATTCAGGAAACTGAATGCAGCAAGGAGGATTCCATTGATATTCCTGCTGATTGTGATGCAAAGGCTGATGGTGTAAAAGTGAGTAACTTTTAAATATCAACTTTGTTTCTCTTCTGCTTATGAATACCTGATGGGCTACTTATATGCAAGGTAGTTTCAAACATCAGAAATGTTTTAGGTTTGTGTTTTTCAGTCGGCAGTAGTAAACACTCCACAGTTCATGGCATCCATCGGTAACGGGAAAACAACAAAGGGCAGTTCAAAAAGACAGCCCCAGCTGCACCCCCACGGCACCTTCCCATACAATTGCAGAAGGTGTAACACCTGCCTATTTACCTCCTCCCTCCTCATTATCTAAAGTCCAGGCACATCTTCCAGGTGAAGCAGCAATTTACCTGCACTTCACTCAATCTAGCCTACAGTATTCACTGTTCACAATGTGGTCTCTTCTACATTGGGGTTCGAAGCGACAGACTGGGTGACCACTTTGCAGAATATCTATGTTCTGTCCAAAACAGGCCCTGAGTTTCCTGTTGCCTGCCACTTCAACACAGGCACATGTTCCCTGGCCAACACCTTTGTCTCAGACTTACTGCAGTGCTCCAGTGAAACTCAGTGCAACCTGGAGGAACAGCATCTCACTTTCCACTTGGGGATCCTGAAGGTTTCATGATTCAATATCGAGTTTAATAATTTTCAGCCCTAAACACCTCCTTACAAATCCTTCTCCCAGAACCCACATACAAGACCTTGTCATCGCATGGACTGCTACCACAAACAATCTATTTCAGCCACTAATGGTCCCCATTAGCAACTATTCATTCTCCTTTGGTGAACTTAACCCAATGCTTTGTCTGCCCAACTGCTGTTCTCTCTCTCTCTCTCTGAGCTCCATTTCCACCTATCAATTACTCCTCCCCACTCCCACTTCCTCCCCAAACCTCAACACCTTATTCATAATCTTTTTATAGCTTGTGAGGTTTTTCTGTCTCTATTACCCTCCCAGGCAAAGCATTCCAGATTCCTACCACCCTCTGGGTGAAAATGCTTTATCCTCAAATCCCCTCATTCTTCATAAATTGGTATGAAACAGCCCAGTCTCCTAAAATACATGGGTATTTCTTCTGTTCAACAAATGGATAAACAAATTTCAAATGAATATATAACGTACTTGTATTTGTAATCATTGATGGTATCATTTCAGCCCTTTGGTTTTTCAGCAGATCTCTATTAAGAGACTTAGGTTTTGCCTCAATATGTGTGTAGAGATGCCATTTTAATGGTTATTTGAACCTTTACAAATCAACAAGTCAGTTACAATAGTGCCCATAAAAATATCCCCCAGCAGTGTAACTACCTGATGAAATTAATTTTTTGTCTCTTGTACGTTAGATTTTTAAAGTAAATCGTTTCTTTTGTTTTCTAGCTATACTGTAATTCCAATGTGCTCATCAAGTTTTGGATGAATTATACACATGTAGCTGTGAACTGTTACGACAACCCACCTGAGGTAATTCTAAAATTCATTCTTTATCAGTGTTAAGTTCTAAATGAATTGTATTTTTTGCAGTCTTTGAATATCTATGCCTGTTTTAAGGAGGTGATTAATATGAATTAGTATGAGTACATTAGTATGTAGTTGTTAGCTTGTCAGAAATAATTTGTTACAGTCTGAGTTTGTCCGAAATGCAAATCAACTTGTCATCTGTCTCATGACATCTGAATCCAGATTTTAAACCTTCCATTATGTTATTCTTATATTTGAAACTTCTACCCTTCCTCTCTGAATGTCCATTCTATTTATCCCTCCTGAATGTTTGTTATCAGCAATGTTCAGCTTCCTGAAATGCCATAGCCAAAATTATACCTCTGTAAATGGTATTATAATGTATACCAATGTCACTAAGTAGTCAACCTATTCTAAAGTTAGTTCTTGTTAATCTTGGAGTCTCATCGTTTCAGGTTAAACATGGTTTAACTTGAACATAAAAACCAAAAGAACTGCAGATGCTGTAAATCAGGAACACAAACAAAAGTTGCTGGAAAAGCTCAGCAGGTCTGGCAGCATCTGTGAAGAAAAAATCAGAATTAACCCTTTCTCAGAGGGTCACCGGACCCGAAACGTTAACTCTGATGTTTTCTTCACAGATGCTGCCAGACCTGCTGAGCTTTTCCAGCAACTTCTGTTTTTGTTTTTAACTTGAACACACTGGTCACTGTGTTCCATCTTCCCTTGGCAAATGAATCAGTACTCAATGTTGACAGCACTTGGAGGAAGCATTGTGAGTGGCATGGGCACAAAATATACTCCTAAAATGCATAACTGCTAGACTGGGTCTGTGGCAGGTGGTGAGGGTATTAATAAAAAGGTAAAACATACTTGACCTCATCTTTGCCAATCTGCTGGCTGTAGACGCATCTTTCCATGATGAAGTCTTGCCTTTACATTGAGAATATCCTGTAGCGTGTTGTGTGGCACTATCACTGTGCTAATTGGGACAGATTTGAACAGATCAAACAACTCCAGATTATGAATCCATGAGGTGCTTTGGGCCATCAACAGCAGCAGAATTGTATTCCCGGCATATCCCCCTCTCAACGATTAGATCAAGCTAGGGGATCGGCCCTGGTTCAATGGATAATGCAGGAGGGCATGCCAGGAGCAGCACCAGGCATACCTGAAAATGAAGTATCAACCTGGTCAAGCTACCAAACGGATAATTTACGTGCCAAACAGCACAACCAGCTAATGATAGACAGAGCTAAGCAAGCCCACAACCAACAGATCAGGTCTAAGAGATCAGTGCAATCCTGCCATATCCATTTGTGAATGGTGATGGGCAATTAATCAACTCACTAACAGATGAGGTTCCACAAATGTCTCCATCTTCAATGATGGAAGATCCCAACACAACAGTGCAAAAGATAAGGCTGAAGCATTTGCAGCAATCTTCAGCCAGATATGTTAAGTGGATGATCCATCTCAGCCTCCTCCAGTGGTCCACAGCTTCTTAGATACGAGTCTTCAAACAATTCGATTCCCTCCATTTGATATCAGTATGTGGTTTTAGGCACTGGATACGGCAAAGGCTATTGGCCCTGACAATATTTCAGCAATAGTACTGAAGACTTGTGCTCCAGAACTTGCTGCTCCCTGAGCCAAGCAGTTCCAGTACAGTTACAATACTGGCATCCGCCCAACAATGTGAAAAATTACCCAGTTATGCCCTGTACATAAAATGCAGGATAATTCCAACCTAGCCAATTAACACTCTCGCTCAACAATAAAGTGATGGAGGCTGTCATCAACAGTGCTGTCAAGTAGCACCTGCTCAGCAATAACCTGCTCAGTGGTGCCCAGTTTGGGTTCCTGGAGGGCCACTCAGCTCCTGATCTCATTACAGTCTTGGTTTAAACATGGACAAAAGAACTAAATTCCAGAGGTTAGGTGAGAGTGACAGCCCTTGGCATCAGGCCGTATTTGACTAGGTGTGGCACCAAGGGGCATTGGGGGCAAACTCTTCACTGGCTGGAGTCCTATCTGTTACATTGAAAGATGGTTGTGGTTGCAGTTCAGTCATCTCAGCTCTAGGACATCTCTGGAGGATTTCTTCAGGGTAGTGTCCTAGGCCCAATGATCTTCAGCTGCTTCATCAATGACCTTCCCTCCATGATCATAAGGTCAGAACTGGGGATATTTGCTGATTATTGCAGAATGATGAGCACCATTTACAACTCCTCAGAAGCAATCTATGTTCATATGCAACACGTTCTGGAAAATATCCACGCTTGGGTTGACATGTGGCAGGTAACAATCACACCACACAAATGTCAGGCAATGCCCATCTCCAATAAGAGTCAGTCTACTTACTACCCTTTGACATTCAGTAGTGTTACCATCACAGAATCCCCCATTATTAACATCCTGGGGGTTACCATTGACCAGAACCGCAACTGGTGGCAGCTCACCACAACATTCTCAACAGCAATTAGGGATGGGCAATAAATGCTAGCCAGTCATTTACACTCATGTTCCATAAAAGATTAAAAATCTAAAAAAAAGAAGGAATCCTGGCAAAATTTAAGTCAATAGGAATCAGGAGAGAAACCTTTCGTTGATTGGCGTCATGTCGAAGATAAAAGGTCAAGGTTACTGGCATCCAATCATCTCAGACCTACAACATTGTTGCAAGATTTCCCCAGGATAATTTCCAAGGTCAAACCATTTTCAGCTGCTGAATCAATCACTTTCTTTCCAGCGTATATCAATGGGAATCTTTGCAGTTGGTTGCACAATGTGCAGTTGATTTGCAATTTGTCAGGTACTGAAGCAATCTCTGCCAAAACAGAGAAAGAGCTGGACATTATCACCAAAAAGCTCAACATTACCAGGAAAAAGAACCTGCTTCTTTGGCGTCACATCCACAAAAGTAGACATTCACCCCCTCCATTACTGGCACAGTGACAGTAGCATTTACTATATACGAGCTGCACTGCAGCGATTTATCAATGTCTGTTCAACAGCATTTTCCAAAACAAAAGCCTCTACCATCTGGAGAAAAAAAGCAGTAAATGCAAGGGACCATCAAAACTGCACACATCATCCTGACTTATCGCTGATGCTTCACTGTAACTCCAATCAAAATCCTGGAGCTCCAGCCTACCTGCACTGCATGGGATGGACTGTAGGGGGCTCAAGATGGAGGTACTTTCTCAAAAAAAATTAACAAGTGACACTCATATCCCATGAAAGAATTACCGAAAAATTTAAAATGACTGCATACCAAGAACTAAAATACACTGAGGTTTTCACTTTAAGTTAGTAAACTTTAACAATCACAAATGTAGGACTAAGATAGAAGTTGTAATGTTATAAACAAAGTTTTAAAGCAATTATTTTAACCTTTTTTTATCATAATGCAGAGATTTGATATTCCATATAAATAAAATTCTCTTCTCAGGGCCAGTTATGGCTGCTGGGCAGCAATCATGAATTTATATTATGTTAAAACTGTAGAGACTCAAAAAACCCACTCAACAAGGTGTAACTTTACCAAGGATTTTATGCGGAATCGAACAGCGTGCAAATGCAAGTCTTCATCAGTTCAGTGACTTCTTGTTGTTTGCCGTCCTTGCGGACTTCAAATCACACCGGGAAAGCAAAACATCACTATCAGGAATTTCCAGGATTTCCATATTTAACGGCTCAAATACAAAATCTGGAAGTTGCAGTTTCTTTCAGAGGAGTACTGAAGGTGAACACTGACAGTTTTGTTGTCATTGCTGCTGCAAAACCCTGGCAATATCTTCCTTAACAGTATAGAAGAAAGCTTCGGACAATATGATACATGATAGTACATATTTATGTCCTGCATTTCTGGAACACAACATTCGGGACACTATTGTTTGTGTTATTTACTTACCCTCAATTCTGCATTTAAACTAGTTCTGGTGTGAGATCTCTCTTTCGGAGGTTGCCTATTAAGGGAAACAGATTCTCCTCTGCATTGTGTGTGAGATAACTGTAAACCTCTTGTTCACAGATAGGTTTATAATTTCATTACAAACAGCCCACAGAAGAAATTGAAGGTTGACAAAGACCAGGTCTTTAGCTAAATGTTCCACATCGGAGGCAATGATCAATATTTTATTATTAACATTATTTGTTAAGGGTTTGAGAATAAATAAATACTGTAAGAATTGTGGATGCTGGAAATCAGAAACAAAAACAGATATTGAGGGAAAAGCTCAGCAGGTCTGGCAGCATCTGTGGAGAGAAATCAGAGTTAATGTTTCAGGTCCATGACGCTTCTTCAGAATTCTGGAAGTTCTGAAGAAGGTTCACTGGACCTAAAACATTAACTCTGATTCCACTCCACAGATGCTGCCAGACCTGCTGAGCTTTTCCAGCAATTGCGTTTTTGTGCCTGAGAATAAATGATGATATATAAGTTGACCATAGAGTGCAATCGGTTATAATTTTTGATGGATTTCAAGGATATTTAATAACTTTAAATCTCCCACTCCATAGAGGATGGCATTTGCAGCACCTCGATATGTGGGTTGGGGGCCATTCAGCCTCTCACTTAAACAGCCCGGTCAAACAAGTTCTGGTGGACAAGACACCCATTCAGAGAAGATGACCTCTGCTGAAAGAGCCCTTGCAGGCAGTCAGGAATCCCCAACATGCCCAGGAAAACCATGGACAGCCTTGCGACAGATTAAACCTACACTTTCCCCAGCTGAAGAACACCATGAAAACAAAGACCCTACGCAGACAACAATCAGTGACCTTGATTTACTGGACTTCAACTCATAAATCTCTAACTACTGCTGGATTTGAATTAATACAAAAATAATGAAATAAGTATTGCAATAAAGTTTTGTTGTAAATTTGTTTCTATCAGCTCTACACTTCTCACAGAATGCATTTTTATCTGTGGAGTCTATGAAAAGACATGAATTTTGGCTCATGTAGATAATCATGACTCAGTCATATCTGTAGGATTAAACAATTTGATGGAAAATTATGAAAGTATAAAAGTAAGAAATGTTTGTTATTCATCAGGTCAAGTAAAGAAATTTGTCAACAATGAGAACTTGCAGCTATGTTTCATGTATTCGTAATTGTCACAATCATATGAGGAGGAATGAAAGGACTAATCTCTTTTCAACCTCCCTCGTTCGTCACATCAAAGATTTAAGTTCTTTATAACATGCTGCTATACATTTTCCCAATTAAAATGTAGTTAATTGTTTTAACCAGAAGCTGTAAGTAGCCAATGACAACATTTTCTTGAATGAGGGACAGAGCAATTATATAACTTCTTAACCCCAAGAGAGAATAAAGATGTGACATCAAGCATATGACTTTTGTGGAATCATGTGACCTCTTATGTGAACACATACACACATACATGCACAAAGTTAAGATTAGGGGAGTCTGTCCACGACAAAGGAAAGTACAAAACAGAGTCCTTACAGTGTTGCTGAGGTATAAAAGTGTAAATCAGAATAGGAGATGATGGCCTTTACATGCCAGTCAAGGAGCTTGCTGATTGGTTTCATTTTTCTTCGGGAAAACGTTAATTTTTAGTTCAGCTGCCTCTTGTTTAATTTAATTTGTAAACCTGTATGGACAGGTAATAGCAATGAATATTTTAAGTTATTGTTTTTGTTTCTCATTTTAAAACCATTTCAGCCCGTGAAAGCCCTAAATTAAGGTGGATGATGGGACTTAAATATGAACCATCCATCATTTATGTCGTCTTGATACAGTTAATGTAGGCAGTCAGAAATCAGGCTAAATTTTCATGTCAAGTTAAGGTTAGACTTGCTGCTTAGGTGCTGGCAGGAATATAGCAAATATTTTGTTTACTGTCAGCTCATTTGAATAATTATTCACAGCTGCTTTGGCAGGGATACAAAGGATTGAATCCTGGGGGAGGTGATGGCCTAGAGGTATTATTGCTTAAATTATTAATCTAGAGACCCAGATAGCATTCTGAGGCCCTGGGTTCAAATCCCACCATAGCAGATGGTGGAATTTGAATTCAATAAAATATCTGGAATCAAGAATCTAATGATGACTGTGAATCAATTGTCAGGAAAAAACATCTTGTTCAAAAAAAAACTACTAGGGAGGTGGGAAGGAGTTATTTCAGAAAACCATTTGTCAACACAGGTCCCAGATGCATTCCCACATTGGATAAGGTGTGCCTCAGCTATGAATGCTACACCTTATCAGCAATGGATGTGCCCTCTGTGGTGCTCAATGCCAAGAAGGTGACTTGGAGGAAGTTTCTCAACAACAGACCTTGGGACCAGCATAAATCATTTTACTGTGACTCCTTTCTCCACATGAGGTCTATCTGTTCTGCAGCAATGGGCTGAATGTTTGTGGCCACAGTATAATCTCAATCTTTCTTTGCTAGCCTCATAGGGTGTCTCCATCTTACAGTTTCCCTCGTGAGCTCCCACCAGTAGAAAGAGCTCCCACGTCTGTTAGTGTGGCTGCCCATCAACCAGAACCTTTGGCTGTCCCATTGGCCTTTCCATCTGTACAACCCACACACCATCCTTAATTGAATGGTGCTCCTAGAGGCAACTTCTTAATTGGCATCTTCTGATAAGATTTCACAGATGAGCATCTGTTAAAAATGATCAACTTTTGCAAATGGTTCTGATTGCTGATGAAAAAACTAAAGGCAGTAAGTTTCGACCTGTGAAATCTGTAAAATCAATGTCAGTTGTGGAAATTGGGATTTTAGATCATTCCTACACTGCCATGGTCTGTGGATTTGGTGCCTGTCATCCTTGGCTCCTGATAGTCTTCAGAAATCATGTCTAACTCGACAACGTAATTTTTGCTAATTGCTATCATGATCTACTCCACTCCAGTCCATGATTTTGACACAGACACAGAGGATACAGGATGCACTAAGCAGGTTTGGCAGCATCTGTGGAGAGAACAACAGACCTGTTGAGTTTCTCCAGCACTCTCTGTGTTTGTTGCAGAATTCCAGCATCCACAGTAATTTACTGTTACTTGAGTGATTTTAGCACCCCTGGTTTTAGTAGTGCATGCAGCCCTGGATATTTACCTGTCCTAAGCAGGGTGGCTCTTGTAAAAGATTTCACAGTCAGTATGCTAGTATGTCAATAAGAGACATGTTCATGATGTCATCACTTTATCATTACATATGACCTGATGGTACAAAGATTCACCTCAACTCAGATCACCTGAAACATGCTCTATGTTGTAAGAGGATAGGTTAATAGTAACTCAGAATCTTATGAGACTGTACTTCTCATAATTAAAGAAGATAGTTACTGTAACAAAATTTCCCATCAAAATCCTACCATTAGATGCTTAAAATAATCTGCTTCACAGACAGATGTTGTTGTCAGGAGCCTTCATCTGACACCGGCATGTAGTTTCAGAATTACCGATTTTAATACAGGCTAGCTGTCTCTTCTCACTAGAAGCAGCCATGCAAGTGGAATTGATTGATTGATTGATTGATTTATTGTTCTGTGTACTGAAATACAGTGAAAATCTTTGTTTATGAGTGGTACAGGCAGATCATAGTCAGCAAAGGATGTACAGATCAAAAAAGACTTAGACAGAGGCATACAGGTTACATTGCATAGGGTGTGCACTATCAATATTCGCAAGATTAGCGTTATTTGGCGCCAGAGAATCCATTCATCAATCTGATCATGGCCAGGAAGAAGCTGTTTCTGAAACTGCTTGTGCATGTGTTCAGGCTTCTGTATCTTCTGCCTGACGAAAGAGATTGTAGGAGGTCATTACCAGGGTGCAACGGGTCTTTGATGATGTTGGCAGCCTTTCCATGGTTGGCTTCTGTGATAGTCTGGGCCGTGCACACCGCCTTGTGTAGTTTCTTACAGTCCTGGTCAGAGAAGTTGCCATACCAGGCTGGTATGCACCTGGACAGTACGCTTTCAAGGGTTTTAGGTGATATCTATTGAAAATTTCCTACATAATACAAGGCAGGAAGTTGGGGTGGGAGTGGTCAGCTAATGGGCTTTTCATATCGATTTCTTGTGTAAAGTTCAATTAATTGCACACAGGACTCTGGCTCGTGTATATTACCCTAATTACAACCAGATATGCTAAACAACTAAATTTCCCATGAGTGATCATGGACTTTGGCACATTTATGGGACATTTCAGGGACTGTACAGTGTAACCCGAGAATAATTTTACATTGGAAAGTTCAGGTGGCTGTGAAATGCATTTCTTCCCGTACAACTTCCTTACTCTATTTATAGCCTAGTGCTCATACACATCTGTTGAGTTGGAGGATCCAAAGTGATAGATGTGATGTCTTCTTCTAGATTCCTCTTCTTTCTTTTCAATCTGTGTTGAATGAAAGTGTGCACCCCTTTCAGCAGGAAGGTGCCAGCAATCAAGGCAGAGAACCTCCCATAGATCAGAAGCTGGAGAATAAATGAGGCAGATATTGGTCATTGAGATCATTGAGAGAAAGAGAAAACATTGCTATAATTCATTGCTATAATTCATAATTCATTTCAATCATCTATTACAGATATAATGATACTTAGAGTTGTACTTTGAACTTGGAATCTGTTAACAGAATAAACATTGCCAATCAAGTGACTTTGGATGCATTTATTTGGATTTAATTAGTACCCTGAACCTATAAAAAAAATCACTCAATGCTAGTTGCTGTTCAACGCAATTGAACAATAGGATTTATTACAGAACCGAAAATCATCTTTGATCGTGAACTCTTTTCAGTGAGATCGATGGTAGAAATAAATCTTTTGCTATTTACTGAATTTACTATTTACTATTTACTATTTATTAAAATCTTTTAGGCTTTTCAAATTCTGGTGTTCATACTGTAATCATTAACCTTGCAATGGATTGACCTGGCTCGTATTTTCCCATCTGCTGATTGAATCACTTTGTTTGTAAATAAAGATTTCATTGTACAATCTAGTCACCTGGAATTATTCACTGGAAATGGATCAATAAATACCTTACCTGGTGTCAAAACGTGGAATTTTCACAAGAGTTGGTATGCCATCGGACATGCAGGTAAGCCTGGTGTTGGCAGTCTGCAGAAATTGGGGGTAGAAAGGTCGGATTTGAGATAAAAATGGAGGGAACTACCTTGGAGAAAGGTGCCTGAACAGGAGGGGCTCCCCTCAGTCTGTGGAAAGCTGCTAGATTCAACTGAATTGGCCCAATATCTGGTGGACCTCCCGCCTTGCTGAAAGACGATTGGAGGAGGGGGGCAGGAAATGTGTACAGTGCTGCTCGGTCTCCCTCCTGCCAGCTCAATTCCTGATATGGCAATAACATTCTCCGCTAAGCTGCTGAAATGTTTGAGCAAGCAGAAAGAAGAAAGAAGTGGAAGCTAGCATAATCCTCAAATAGACAATTTACGGCAGTTTTCATAGAATATTCTGATATTACTATTTGTCAAAAAAAGCTTATTTTATCTCTAATGCTTACTATTAAAGGTCTAGTGAAATATGTTTTCTCCATGTCTCAGGTGAAGAAGTGCAGCAATAACTCATCCAGTGTAAGGATTAAAGCACAAGTACACACATTAACACAATTGCACGGCAAATGAATGGATGTGATCTTGGGAGCTACATAAGGGTTGCGTCAACTCTAACTGCTGAACTCTAACTTTGAGCACAGACTCTAGACAAATGCAGGCGTGTCTTAGGTGACCTATTCCTGTTACACATTGTTACAGTGTGGAATCTAGCCATTTTGCCCACTGAGCCTGCGCTGACCCTCTGAAGAGCATCCACCCAGACTCTCCCCCCTACCCTATCACTGTAACCCTGCATATCCCATGACCAGTCCACCTAACCTGCACCTATGTGAATTGTGGGAGCCAGGCAGACGTTGGGAAAATGTGCAAACTCCACACAGACAGGTGTCCAAGGCTGGAATTGACCCTAGGTCCCTGGTGCTGTGAGGCAGCAGTGGTAACCACTGAGCCACTGTGCCACCCCCTTATTCTGCACATGTTTGGACTGTGGGAGGAAGCTGGAGCACCTGGCGGAAACCCACACAGACACACTGAGAATATGCAAACTCCACACAGAGAGTCACCCGAGGCTGGAATCGAACCTGGGTTTCTGGTGCTATGAGGCAACAGTGTTAACCACTGCATCACCTTTCTATAAATACTGGTGGAATTTCAAATACTCAGGAGTATGTGAATTACCTCCCATCAGTCTGATTCAATGAGGGGGTCTGCAGTTCCACTTCTACCACTTCAGCTCAGTATATCTGCTAAGACCAGGAATAAGTATACTTAGTTTACGCCATCCTTGCCAGAAGTCCTTTCCTCAAC